ATGAGGAGCAGTGGAGGGAACTGAGGTTATTTTGCCTACAGAAAAAGAGTCTCAAGGGAGGCCTCATCTGTTTTTACAACCATCTCAAAGGAGGTTGTGACAGGTTGGGGGTTGGTCTATTCTCCCAAGCAACAAGCCATAGGACAAGAGGAAATGGCCTCAAGTTGCACCAGGGGAGATTTACGTTGGATATTAGGAAAAATTTATTCATGGAGTGGGTGGTCAAGCATTGGAAGAGGCTGCCCAGGGAAGTGGTTGGGTTACCATCCCTGCAGGTATTCCGAAGATGTGTAGATGTGAGCTTAGTGACATAGTTTAGTGGTAGACTTGGTAGTATTAAGTTAATAGTTGGACTTGAGGATCTTAGAGGTCTTTTCAAACCTAAATTATTCTAAAATTCTATGAATAGGGAATGGGAAAATGTCTGTTTCCAGTACTGTTTGTGCTTTTTATCCCATGTATCTTAATAGGTAGTGCACAAGCAGAACTCAGACAGGAAACAGAATGAAGAAAACACTCTCAAAAGAGCTGTAGACACATTCCCTCTTGTTTGCCCTCTCAAGTCAGTGCACTCTTGTAAGGCACCAAACATGGACAAATTGGGTATAGACTAGGATCTGAGTGTCTTGTTCCAGCCCAGCAGCTGCAACACTTGCAGCTGAGGATATCTCAGCAGTGTGAGATGTCAGTTCTAGTCCAGGAACTATCAGACCTCAAATCCAGACTGTAAGGAGGTGGGGTAGATTACAGCCAGCATGACTTTAGTCCACTTGAATCTTTCCATGAATTGCCTTATTTCACAATCTGTGTGTAATATTGATAGACTTCATTTAAACCTATGGGGAAAATGTTGTGAAAACAGACGCAGTTTATTACAGATATGAGCCTATTAAATTGAAAGATATTAAGTGGTGAAATAAATTATTAAGAAAAAAACAAAACTAGCAGACAATCACAGACATTCTCTTGGGGGAGAAATCTGTTTTCTGCTCAGCCACAAGCTCAGTAATGGTGAGATATGGTCCATTTAATGCATGTTGAAATGTACAAACACTTGTACTAGATACAGTTGTTATGAATGGTATGCTCCCGTTGTGTACTTCCATGCATTCAGAAATAAATGTTGCAGTGTCTTACAGAAGATATAAAAACAAGACAAAACAACAACAATAAAAGTGCTCCCCTTTAATAAGGCTCAGCACCCCTTTATATAAAGAACTTGTTTTATCACCTCAGAATATTCTTCTAAAGTTATTCATATATCTTAAGGTTTTGCAAAAATACTTATGTTGTGTTTGACTTCATTAACAAGCAAAAAGGTGCTCCTTCTTAACATTCACAGCCAGCTCCAACACTTCAGCAGATTGATTAATAATGAAGAGAAAATGGGAGAAAGTAGCTTTTTGTCCCTTTAGAGATTGTTTAGATACAAAAAGATTAATAACAGCCACAGGTAGATCGGAACCGAGAATCTATCTTCAAAAACTTCCCAGATGATAATGGCACAATGTCAGAGTTTTAAATAATTTTTTAGAGTCCTACGAGCTGTTCCAGGTCCCAAGATCCAAGAACCCTTACATTTTAAATCTGGATGTAAATCTTTTACAACACAGGCTGGTTCGTGTGTCTTCAAGCTTTGGTTTAATGAAATCAAATCAATCTTGAATTTTCTCTTTCTCTGTCTCTCTCCTCCCCTCCCTCCCCCCCTTTTTTTTTTGTTTGTTAGACAGAAATAAATGAGACTTAGGCATTAGCATTTGCTAAGCTTACTTATGCGTATATGATGATTTCCTGAACACACTCTGATAACTTAAAACTCCTGTTTCTTACCTCATTGGACAAAATTATAGAGGACAAGAAAAAAAAATAAAAGGTTTTCTGCAAATAAGTGAACAATTAGAGGGGAGAAATCCTGTTAATTAAAGTCTGCTGTAGAAATTTATACTCTATTAGAATAGACATGAAAAAGAAACTTGGATCCTAGAATGAAAAACTTCATTCAGACATCATAGTTTGTGAAAAATAATATTTCTAGTGCTTACACCTGGCCAAAGTCTATCAAGCACAAGGCACAAATTTATAGGAAATCAAGCTTTATTATCTTCAGTGTTCAGGGAGAGATTTTGTTTTACTGAGTAAATAATTTATTCCTTCATTCTTGCAGTCTGCAGTGCCTCCGTTTTTGGCTGGGTTTGGAAGAAATGTAGTAGCACTGTGAGAAAGGCCAAGGCATTTCTGAGCCAGTCTAAAAGAGAGAGTCTGGGAAGTCATGTGAAAATAAATTTGTTATGAGATTTTCAGCCCACTTGTAAATCAAATTGGTTTTGATAATAAGCACCATTACAGTGCGTCTTGTTCCAGTCTTTCTCTGTGTTGTTTTGAGCTGGTTGTCACCTCAGTAAAAGATATGACTTCTAACTATCTAGTCCAAGACACTTCTCTTTCCTTGATGCAGCACTTTGAACAAAAAAAAAATCATTGCTGGGGCCTGAACTTTTATGTTTCTTCCCTCTGTTCTTCAGTACTCGAATTGAGAAACAAGGGTTTTTCTTGAAAGCTCTATCAGCATCTCTGCTAACTGTGTAACCATGTGAGAGATCGCCGGCAAGGAAACTGTAGAGATGTGCATATACATTTAAGCTTCATGAAGCAAAATGTATGAAATTATGGAGCTTTTCCCAAATGCTTATTTCCAAGGAAGCTAATATCATTGCAGCCCGATCACAAGACTGATCAAAGTGTAGTTTATGACAGCATCACTATTGCAAATGTACTACTGAGTTGGGCAATTTTTTTCTGCTTTCTTCTCTCTTTTTCTGTGACACAAGGTAAATAAATTTTAATGCTTCTAGCATGGAAGTGGTAGCCTCAGTAGCTACCGTTAAAGCTTAAGAATATTTGCAGTGGGATTTCCTAACAAGCTTCATAGAAAGAAAGGCCCATTGTTTGAAGCCCAATTCATTTTTTTGGATAAGACTGATCAAAATAGTTTATACAGATTTTCATGAGCTTTTTGCTTACACCATGTATTATTTGGCTTAGTGATCACAGCTGAAAAGCATGATTTTAATAAAGGAGTTGGATAAGTAGATTAAAGTAAGTTGCAGGGACTTCCTCATTCCAATGGTAAACAAAGTAAACTAGTTTAATCAAAGTAAGGTAGGTTAGCATGTGTATTATCATTAATTCACTTGATTATTGCTTTACATTTATATTTAAAGTAGTAAACATATTACAGATTATAAAAATACTGCTTTTAAATTACCAGCTGAGCACCTTAGTTTCAGTCTCTTCTGATGAAGCAAGGAGAGCTGTTGCTGTAAACTCAAATTCTAATTAACACCCCCCAAACACCCAAGAATCAATAATATGTTTACAAGCCCCTGTAAGGAATGGCTGAGAGAATCTCTCTGAATACACTTCTTGTGCAAGAAAAAAATGTATGCTCCTGTGAATGCCTGTGCTAACTGCAGATTGATTTAGTTGACTCAACCATTTAACTCCAGGTGAAAAATGTAGGAAAGAGACTGCTACTTCCATCACCTCAGATGATGTGTGCAGACAGGGTTAAATGGATTGCCAGCTTTGGATTTAGGAGGGAATTTTGCTCAGGGGTGTAGTGGCCAGGGACTGCTGGGTCTGGGAGTTTTTCTGGCTCTGTTAAGGTCATGAAGGGTGCACCTGCAGTCACTGAAGGGAAAGTGTTGGTGACCCCAGCTGCTCCTTGTCCCTGCTGCTGAGGCTGGGTTCAGGCCTCTGGGACGCTGCTTTCTCTGAGCTGCCTTTGCCTCATGGAAATCTCCAGTGTGTGTAAGATGATATGCATGAGAGCATTAGTGTAGGCACATGATTGCTGGCACCCTTTGATATTAATCAGCAAACAATCTCACGTACCAAGTGAACTCCAGTGAGAGCTTCTTGGAAAGAATAGCCAGTCTCACTGGGCAAAGGAAATCTGCTGCTTCTCCTGTAGCTTCTCCAGGATATTTCCCTAATGTAGAGTTTAGAAGCACTTGATCCTTGCCCAAAGGTCTGGTCTTGTCACTAAAGCTGCAGCCCCAAACGTCTGAAAGCATATAGCCTACATCTTGCATAAAACCCAAGGCGAAACAAACAAGTGCCTGTAAAGTAAGATCTATTTAATTGTGTCTTGTCATTGCAACAATATTTATGCAAAGGCACTGTTATATTTTGATACATTCATCAAGAAAAAAAAGTGTTTTTTTTTCCAGGTTTTTCCAGCTGAATGACTAATCACAGAAATCCGTGGTTCATTTCGGATACAGGTAACCATAGCTACTTTTGTTGCCTAGCGACTCCTTCGTACAGCTGAGAGTGGTCCTGATCCTGCCACCTTCTGTACAGCCAAATTCGGCTGTCACACCGCTGCAACCCTGCAGCAGCTCCCCATGACACAGAACAAGTGGTTTGGTGCTTGTCCTGCAACCCAAGGGATTAGAATTGGAGGTGGTGTTGTTATAGGAAGATAAAGAGGGCTGCCCAGCACAAGGGAGGGGACCAAATGCTGGTCTCCCTTATACATAAACCCAGCTGTGGTGTAAGGCAGGATCTGACTCAGTGTCCTCAGTTGTGCTACAACACATCTGAGACACGAATATATATGTATATTAAATCATACCTTCTCCATTAGTTTGCATAGAAGACCATTTGGGGCAGAATTTAAGGGTAGTGATCAGCTTCTCAGCCCAGACACAGAACAACTAGTAAAAAACCTAGTGTCTGACTCCTTTACTGTGTGAAAAGCAGCATTGGTTCTTTTAAAGACAGGTAATGATGAATTATGTCATTTTGAAAACAGAAAATGTATTTATTTAATAGATAAGGTTTTAAAAATAAACTTATAAAAAGTCTATGAGTCAGATTCTCCCAATTACGTCAATTTAATCTGAGTTAATTGTAAATTAACAACAATAAACTTTATTGGCCTTGGTCGTGAAGGGCTTCTCAAATGCAGCTGCTTTATGTATGATGTGACTCACCAGCATCCAGGCTTGGTTTGCAGATGTCTGTGGGTGATGTCACGGCCTTGGGCTCTCCCTTTCAGAGCATTTTCTCAGAACAATGACTTGTAACTGCTTTTCACCTGAGCACTCATCTGATATTTGTGGTCTAGCTGGATTGTTTGCACCAGAAGGACAAACTGCTTATGTAAGCCCAGGCACTTCTTGTGCAATTTTGTCTGTTTGTAAATAGGGATGCCCTTGTCTCCCTCCTCGGCCTTTCCCCTCAGCACTCAGCAAACCCATTGCTTTGCAATAGGAGCAGACAAAAGAAAATAGTTTCCATGCTCACGGATCTGAGTTTGCCCTTCCAAGCAGCACTCTGCTGAACAACAGCTCCTTCTCAGGAGCTTCCTTTCTGAAGCATCAAACTGTTTTCTGCTGCTGATACATACAGTTCTGCAGATCAGTTAATGTGCTTTTTCAGTAAGTTCTTGAAAGCACTGTTTTCTCCTTTTGTTAATTCTTGAGTTCTATCAGGTTAGTGCCACAGGTGGTGTCTGTTGCTAAATCTTCTAGAGTAATGAAACTCAGCCATCTGTACTGCTAGATCATTAACCTAGTCCCTGGTTCATGCTGGATCAGCTCAGACTCCTCCAAGCAGTTCTTGGGTACTTCTTAGGGGTTTGTGCAGAAGAGGCAATTCCCTCGAGGCAGTTTGGAAGCAACAACTGTGCTTTGGATAGAAAGAGTTTTCATTAGTGCAGACACAGGCCATTCTGGTCTAGCCCGTTTGAGTATCAGAAGGTTCAGAGAAGTTCTAGGCATATTTAATTAATTTTCAGTAAAGAGGCATAGTGTTTTGACCAGTTTATTTCCAGCACATTGCTTACTTGCCACCTCTTGAGCAGGTTCAGCCTGATTTTTTTATTTTTTATTTATTTATTTATTTTTAAGATATATACAAGTACGGGACTCATTCTCCTACATTTCCTGGGATCTATTTAGAAAATCAGTAACCTACAAATACTGTATCAGCAGCTAGAGTGGGTGCAGATGTTCTTTGATCACGGTCTGTCATGGTCAACAAGGATGTTTCAAGGTGCTTTCCCATTTGCAAGGGGATGTTAGGCTGGAAAGGACCACCTAGATCCACTGAGTGGTGTTCCTCTGTGTGTACCTGTTAATTCTTGTGTTGTAATTAGGTTATTAACAGTAGGGGGCTTGTAAAGTGCATAGTAAATAGGGTCCTGATTCAAGACTGAAAATAAGCTCTACAGTTCAGTGAGTAAGGAGATACCAATGACCTTAGCCACACAAGGAGTCCAGGTTGCCCAGTATGGTGCTGGTGACCTTGTACTGTGAGAAGAGAAGGGACTACCTGCTCACTTGGAATGTCTGTCCAGAGTCTTTGTAAGAAGTGCATTTCTCCTTCATTTTGATGTCTGTTACAAAGCTTATTGAAACTTTTCATTGCTTTTCTTCTACTCTTTATTTTCCATCATATTTTTGTGTCTTGACTGCTCCCAAATTACCCCCTTCCTCTCTGTCTGCTTATCCTATATTCTATGCTTTGAATTGGAGAGTTGTGTTTTTCCTTCTGTATGCTGTTCCTTGTAAAAGGAAGGGTTCCTGGTTGAATGTCATCTGTTTTTCTGTGTTAATTTAGGATAATAGTTCCCCTTGCCCCATTTGCAGCCCACATACTGATGCAACTTCCCCTTGTTTTGTTCCCAGATAAGTATTGCCACAGTACTTTAATAAAATGATGTAGGACTCTGTTTACAAAAGAGTGCTTCTGTGGTATCTTACTGCTTTCACAGGAAGCTTAACAGCTTGCAGAACAGTAAGTGGCAAATGTTTAGTGCAACATTATGCCAACTTGAGGACAAACTGTTCCTCTCAGGAATGTTTTCAGCCTTAAATGAGAGGAAAATCCCCCTTGCAGAATGTGAATTCTTAGAGGGGGCGGGGAGTGACTGCCACTTACTCGCCTTGCCAGCAGCTCCAGTTCTCAAGAACCTTCCAAGGCTTTTATAGATCAAAAGTAGTGTATACTCAGAAGTAAGGAGTGATGAAGCTGTGACTGGCTTTTCTAGAGTAGCACAGATTCCAATATCATAGATGAAATAGTAAACCTTCTAGCCTACCTCAGACTGCAAATGTTAGCCTGTGCAGAGAGGTGCTGGGGAGGAAGACATGAGGCCGTGGATAAGCTATTGACGTGATTAAGCAAAGAGTAGCAGCGTAGTTGAAAACAACATGTGACAGATCAATTCAGAACTTATATTTCAGTCTGTCTCATCACCATTTGTGGCACTTCAACCATGGGTGCTAGTCACCCATCAAGATGATAAGTGGATATTAATGAGTTAAGTATTAGTTTGACTAAACAGTGAAAGGAGTTGAATTTAATACCATTCTGTCTGTTAATTCTCTTAAGTGGTAAAGAATTGTTGGCTCTGCCAATCACTGGCACTCTATATCTTCAGACCTCAACTTCAGGTTAAAATATGCTGCTGGTTTTCAGTGACTGCTGTGACCTGAACTCATTAAAGCGGAACTGGGTGCAAGTTATCTGTTGGTGGATCTAGGACGCCCAGATGGGTGGCTGAGCTGCACAATGTGGCAGAAAGCACAAGAGAAAATGCACTGAGTGCTTTCTATTTTATTTCAAATCTCTGGGGTGAGGCAGCAGTCTGACACTCTGGAGCTAGTAGGATTCTCAGCTGAAGCTTGCATTTACCATAGAGAGAGTACAGAGAGATGCAACTCAGTGCCTGAAGGCTGATGCCAAAGCAGCATAGAAATGTCTGTGTATAGAGAGTGCAATGAGATCTTTTTAAACTGAAAGAATTTCAGCCGTGGATGCCCCAGTTCTCCACCACAGGAAAGTGGCCTAATAAGGGAGGAAAATTCAAATAGAATTCATCAGATGAAACCTGTGGCCTGATAAAGAAACACTGCTCCTTCAATCTAGTAAGGGATATCTCCAGTATATCATGGGAAATATAGTCTGGTCAGGAAGCTTCACAAGAGAAAACGGGGGATGACAGCTTCTAACTCACAAGGCTTCTGAAGCAGTAGCTACAGTTCATTATGCAGCAAAGAACAATTTTACAGTCATGGTTAAGTTAATTACCATGTTTCAGTTCTCTTCATCAAGAAATAATGTTTCTATGGAACATCCAGAAACTGTGTTTTCCATAAAACATCTTAACAAAATGCAACCTTGAGATATGTGCATAGGCTTCAGCTATGTTTAGTTACGGTGGCAGGAGCAGTCCCTTGATGGACCTACAGCCCAGGCTGAGGCCCTGCTGGTGTCTGTAGGGACAATGTTCTGGCCCAGGTTGTCTTCAAGTGGAGGCCAAAGGAGGTGAGACTTTTTCAGGTCTCTGCTTGATAGGGATCTAGATAGTATCAATGTGTGCTTTCAGACTTGGTTGCTGAAATGTGTCCCCTAGCTCAAAAACAGCCAGAAAGCACCACTTGGTGACTTGACCATGAATTGCAAATATGGTAGACAAATAGCCTTTGCAAACATGACAGCAGAAAAGACTCTCTAGAGAAGGCACACTGGCCAAAGATAGGCCTATAAGCTTAATTTACGTAATTTATGGCAAAAAAATAAAAAATCAGAACCAGACTTTTCAGTACTTGGAAATGCTGGTGTTAATTTTGAACTAAGTTTCCTTCCACCTTTCCTTCCACCCTTCCTTCTATGAAAAAGTACAGTTTATCTGCCAAACACTTCAGTCATCTTCTGTGCTTCCGAACTGACAAGAAAAACTGATAGGCAGATAAACTTGATTTAAAGGAATTTAAAACTTTCAACCATACAGAAACATTTCAGGGAAGGAAGAACTAACCAAAGATCATCCCTGATAGCATTGGAACTAGATTGTACACACAGAATTTTGCAAGATTTTGATAAATTATTTGAAAAATCCCAAATATCCTCTAAATCGTGTGAAAACCTTTCTTCAAATGGAAATGCCTTAGTAAAGAAAAAGGAAAGAACATGGATGGTGAAATATTTGTTTTATATATAAGAGGATGTATTGAGAAATATAAAGAAAGATTTATATTATGTTGTGTAATCCAGGGATTTATATGGATTTCCAGCACCAATAACTACTTAAATATTTTTCCGTATGATTAAATAGAAATTATTATGCCTGTATTAAATGACAGGAAACATCATTATATGTACGCATGATACGGCTTATACAGTCTCCATAGCATAGAGTCTGTATTCATAAAAACAATAGACTGGACTTGAAAATTAAACTGTGGATACAAGACCTTTTTAATGAGAAATTGATAATTAAAGTGGCAGTAGTTTTTATTGCAGTATTATACCTCTGTAAATTAATTTTAAGTGTCTGAAACATCACTAAATACAAAAACATCACAGATGGAGGTATTTTCATAATGTTACCTTGTTCACTAAAAGCTAACAGTATGTTTTATACATTCAGAAAATTAATTTCTAGCAGAAGAACTTTTGCTACAAAATTAGAACATTTTTTTAAATGCTAGGAAAAATTATTTTTCATAGTATTTTCTGCAAATGGTATCCATATTCATACATGCTAGATTCACTTCCACATGACATTAGGAAGGAACAGCAGTCTGAAACCAGCAAAAGTCTGTAAGTTTATGTGCTGTGCTGTTTTTTCCTTATTTCCATTAAAAACAGTTGTGTGAAAGTTCTGCTCCTGCAATTCATTTATCTCCAATGTAAAGTTATCATAAACATGTGTGTGAAAATAGTATGTTTATGACAGTCTACTGCAATGTCATATATAATTCTATGAGTTTGGAGGCAAAAAGGAGAACATTCTTTGGAAGAAGAATGGTAAGACATCATTTATGCTCTAGTATTATGGTAGATAGCAAATAGTAACTAACAGATGTTTTGTTGCTTTTTCAAAGATGAAAAGTGCTAAATAAATGCTAAAAAGTGGTGTTCTTATGAATAAATCTCAAAGAACAAAAATCCTGTCTTCATACAAGAGTTAATTTTCATAATAATAAAAATGAGAGGCAGAATAAAAAAAAATCCCTGGTAGCAACACCATAAAAAGAGAATGCTTTTCCCAAAAAACGTTTCCACAAAGCAACAGGGGTTCTCTGAAAGAGCTGTATTCTGTGAACAGTAGAAAATTTAATTCAGATAAACAAAAGCAATTAGTAATTGTTATTTCTTGAGCAGATTATTTTTAGGTAATTTTTCTGTGTGATGGATTCCATGTCCTCTACACTAATACAACAAGATAGGACAGGCAATCTGAATCAAGCCAGATCTGATAAAACTCCTGTTTTTTAGTAAAGTCAT